ATTTGCAATAATGAAGTGTTTTTTTAATTTGCAGAAATTCTCATTTTTATAATTCATATATAAATCATGCTAACTTTTTATGAAGTGATAATTTATATTCATAATTTATGTTTATATTTGAATAATATTCTATTGAACACGATGGAATTTGTGTTTTCTTTATATTATTGTCACATAAGAATCAAATGAACTTGTCACTTTGAATGAAAACCGTTTTCGTGGTCACATGACATACAATAGAGTTAATTAGTCTGCAAAGAAATGGATTTCTGTTCCTCCTGACTTCTTTGGGATGCCCTACGTGTTTATAGTATAGTCATATTAGAAATAATTATGGTGGCTGAAATGTGCTGCAAGTTAAGAAAAACATGCATATAGAAAAACAGTAACAAACTGAGAAAACAACTGCAAATAGTGCAGACTACAATAGAAATACGTTGCAGGACCCCCCAAAATGTTGAAATCGGCTGTTTCTGGTTGCGAGTTTTGTAAAAATTTATAGTAAAAATAAATAAACAACAAAACTAAAAAAGTCTTTCTATTAATGTCAGAAAAACAACAGAGTAACGATAAAATGGCATTCAACTTTCATTTTTTTTATTTAATATAATTGTGCTATTCCTCAGATTATTAGGACTAAAATATATAAAACAACAAGAAGGAATTGTATGACATTATCAGGACGTTTAAATTATAATTCAAGAGTTCACACTTAGCTATTGCTTAATAATAATAGCAGGTTTGGCATGCTGTCTCAGGAGAGCACAGCTCGGAGATAATTGAGCCCAGGGCTCCCGCATGGTCAATGAACATGTAAGGGGGTCCAAAATCAGGTAGTTCTCAAGAGCTCCCCCTGGTAAATGAGGAAAAGGGGGAGATGGTGTGGATAGGGGATTCTACAAAAAATGAAAATAATGCTGTAAGGGCAAGACGGACTATTTATTATAAGTTTGGAATAATCCGATTTACTAATGACTGCAGATGAGAGACCAGACGGGATCAATCATATCATGTGCTCCTCTTGAAATTAGTTTGTGAAACTTCACAAAAGAAAACTCACCTTTCAGATCTCCAACAACAATACCACTCACTTCAAACACGAAGTAGCTAAGTGTGTCAATTTTTGCACTACACAGACAGTGTTTTTTGTTTTCTGAACTTTCAGCACTTTTATTAGGAAGTGAATTTCTATTAGGCTGCGTTCACACTGCACTTTTCTCCCCATAGACTTCCATTCATACGCACGTGGATGCATCAGACGCAAGGTCTTGCTGCAAGTTTTGCAATTCGCTGCTTTGGAAATTTCAAGCTTGGTGAACTCTGACCTGCGAAATCGCATCACTTGATTGCGTGAGACCAATCGAAGATCAAAACATGATCTCTCTGGACAGAAATTCAAAACATGAACCAATCGCTCACTTTTTTTAATGTCTAATCATTTTGTTTAATCCCGCCCATTTTCACATCGCTGTACGACAGAATTTCTTACGCACAAACTAGTGTGACCATAGCTCTAGGGAGCTGTTATGAATATGCAGGGCATATTGCATTTGTAACAGCTCCACCTATTGATGGTGTAGTGAAATCTCCTGATTTCCTAAACTTTCACAAATTATTGAGATCAATTATTTCTGTTTTAAATCAATGAAGTGATGACATTTGTAAATTTTGCATCTGCTGTGTGAAACATATGCTGGATAAGTTGGCGGTTTATTCCACTGTGGCTAACCCTGATGAATAAAGGGGCTAAGCTGAAGGGAAATTAATGAATAACCAGTTTGATGTAAATAATGTTTATAGGTGAGTGTAAAAAAAAATGCTAAAAATGGATAGAACTAAAACTGAAGCTCTAATAGAGGAATTGTAACGGTTTTATGTTAAACTTATTTTTGGAAAATAATTAGTTAATAGTAATAAGTTAATTGCACAACCCACTAAAATTGTTGATCATACAATATAACAGTGGTCTTAACCTCAATTCCTGGAGAGCTGCAGCTCTGCATAGTTTAGCTCCAACCACCTCCAACTCGCACCTGCTTCATAGTCTCTAGTAACGTTGAACACCTCGATTATTTGTATCAGCTGTGTTTGATTAATGTTGGAGCAAATCTGTGCAGAGCTGCGGCTCTCCAGGAATCCAGTTTGAGACCTATGCTATATGATAATTCGTTGCTTGTCTTTAGAAAATGTTTAATCAGATTATTTTTAAAAATCATTCCGCCCTGGTAGTGTGCATGTCTGGGTGTGAGGATGAGATCCCTGCACTCACATACACACACTCACACTCAGACTTACACACCTTTGATTGAGCGTGACATTGTGTATGTGTGTGTTCTGTGATCTGAAGTGATGTGCTTGTAATCCATAGATTATGAAAAGACACTAAAAATGTCTTGGCAGACTTTATGGCACAGATGCACATGCTGTGATTGTGCTGTTCATTTTTTATTTAAAGAGATAGTTGACCTAAAAATGAAATTTCTGTCATCTTTTATTCCCCCTTATGTCGTTCCATACTAGTGGGATTATTGAAAGGTGAATTTTTTAGCTTTTTTTTCAATGTAATGGTAGTGAATGATGAATGGAACTGTCATGCTTCAAATCGGCTACAAAAAGGCTCATGGATAAAAGCATAAAAGTGGACTGTCACATTCAAATCTGGGGTTTGCTGCAGTGTTCAGTGTCACACGGGTTTATGAAAGTTATTGTGATATGCTGAATTAGTGCTCAAGAAACAATTCTGATTATTATCAAAGCTGATACATTTTTTTTAGGATTCTTTCATGAAAAGAAATTAGAAACCTAAAACAACACTATTAATATCTTTATCACTTTGCTGAATAAAAACAAAATTTATTGTAAGTATAATTTAGTGATGTATTTCAAATTTATTGTGATAAATATACTCAAATTCCACTTGTTATTCTTAAGTAAAATTGCATAAGAAACAACCTGGGCTGCATTTCCCAAACAACAACATAACTCGCGGCTAAACTATCATATTGCGATGTATCATTTGGGAAAAGAACGATGTAGTGACGAGTGTTTCCCAAAACTGTAGTATCTCTGTCGCAGATCCATCGTTTCAACCACATTAGTTATAATGTAAAACGTCCATAAACGAGTTAGAGAAACCACTTCTTTAGAGAAAAAAAAATATATTTTTTGTGCAAATTATATTGATTTACACTCACATCACAAGCACTTTAAAAAATCCAGTATTAGTTCTTGTAAAAACATGCACTCCTTTTCCATATTAACTGAAATATATGTAAATGGCACATATAAGGCCTATGCTTCCTTTACAAATATTACTGACTGTGTCATATTCTATTCTATTCTAAACATGAACTAGCTAACACATATTTTAATCTCATATCTAAGTCATATAAATTGTTAAAGGTTGTAATTTACAGTAGTCTATTTATTAAGAAATGTAAAAAAAATCTACTCAATAAAAAAATAATAAAAAAAACAACAACAACAATAATAATAATAAAAAAAAATAATAATAATAATATCAATAATAATAACAACAACAATAATGATAATAATAGTAATAATAATAATAATAATAATTATTATTATTATTGTTATTATTATTAATAATATTTTTATTATAATTATTTGTATTATTACTACTACTATTGCTACTTTTTTTACTAAAATTTGACACAATTTGAATTCTAATCAACAGGCCCATGCCATACAGTGATACATTTCTTAATAAATAACCAACTATATATTAAAACCATTAACGTATGCTATATATATTTTTTTGTTTTCACAAGCTTTGGAGACGTAATGTACATTCCGCTTTTAAATAATAGTTCATCTAAGTTAAAGCTTCGTCATGAGCCATGGCTGCGTATCAAAATGGCATTATTGTTTTCAAAGTGCAATGCGAAGCAATTTCAATTGTCAATAAGAAGATCACTAAAACTGGACTGTAAAAAAATACTTTGAAAGCAAATTTCACATAAAAGACATGACTTTAATGTTTGTTTTTATAATTCCAAGTTTAAATTTTGGAACATTTAAAATTAATAGGGCATGGGGGGATAACTGGGAATTGAACACAACAAGGAACTATACTTCTAACTGCAGCTATAGGGGAGTAGTTGCAAGCGTACAAGTTTGCCACACAGTTTGCGAATGTTCATTGGAACAACGATTTGGGGAAATGCCAAATCAAATAACTATGTTTGTTATGATGGAACTTGCAAACTTAGTTGGCTAACGATGGTTTTTGGAAACGCACCCCTGATCTCATTTAAAGGATTTATAAATATCTTTTACATAAAATGTTATTTATTTATTTATTTATTTATTTATTTATTTATTTATTTATTTATTTATTTATTTATTTATTTATTTATTTATTTATGCGTTTATGCGTTTATGCGTTCATTTATTTATTAATAAACAATTTAATTAATTAATTAATTTTTTACTGTTATAAATTCTGCTTACCATAACTTTTATGTTTGTCAGTTCAGTGCAATCACATGACCTTTTTGCAATATGTGGTTTGACTTATTTTTTTAGTTCTTTCCTGAACAATATAATGTAATAGAACATATCAGAATGTAATGGAATAAAATAAATTAGTTTTAGACTTGAGATTCTTTCCCATTACCTTTGAAATGGTGGCTACTTATCTGTGAGCAGTGTTATCTCATGATTAAAATTATTCATTTCTTCCCCACTGATCACACGTATCACTTCAAAATATTTAAAATGAAACCACTTTTCTGACACCGCTGTACTGCTTTTGCATCCTTTTGATGCTTGAAACTCCACATTCGTTGACTATTACAATTTATTTTGAAACTCATTGGAGCAAGTGTGGAATTCCATGATGCTAAATTTAGCTAAACTAACTGCTAATTTTCTGATTCTGAAAAATGAACAGTGTTTTGTTATCACCCGTAAGTTAATGTTTTTCAGGAATGAAAATGCTGTATGTGCTAACAACATTATTTGCATGTGTTTTACAGAGCTCCATGTATTCTCTGGCATTGAAGTGTCTTATTAGCCTTTCCACCATCATCCTTCTTGGACTAATCATCGCTTACCATGCTCGAGAGGTGCAGGTAAACACACAACTAATGTTCTCACATCTATCATTCATTGTTAAAGGGGTCATATTATGCTTTTAACACTGTGAACTTTCTTGTGTGGTTAATGTTGCTGTTGGAGCATGAAATCAGTCTGCAAACGTATAAAGCACTTTGGGAAACATTTATCATAATAAATTAACTTCAGTTATTGAAGGGATATTTAATCAAAAAGAGAAAATGTACTCATTATTTACACACCCAAATATAGTTTAAGCCTTTTTGAGGTTTATGAGGGTTTTTTTCTGTTGAACACAAAAGTTTTAAAAATGTTTTAGACCGGTAACCATTGACATCCATTGTAGGAAAAACAAATACTAGTAAGTCAATGAGGACCGGTTTTAAGCATTCTGCCAAATTTTTTTTTTTTTTTTTTTGTGTTTATCAGAAAAAAAGAAAGTCAAACAGGTTTGAATCAAGTGAGGATGAGTAAATGATGACATAATTCTCAAAATTAGGTGAACTATCTTTTTAAGACTTATAAGAATATATGATGTAAATTATGTATCAAATTTATGTATAAAAACTATGAAATAGTTACAAAAAAATTACATAAAAAAACTCACATTCAATTTGGATTATGAGGGCTGCCATTGATTTAGACGACCATTGCTTAACTTACATTGACTTCATATGGTTGCACTTGGTGAGTTACTGGAGCTGTCTGTCGCTGTTTTTACCACAACACTATTCGTAAAATACGTACAATACTGATTTTAGCTGTATTTTTTAGAATGATTTGGTTGCAATAGGCATCATTCTCATTATACACACAGCTGACCTTTTTTGCATGAAATTGTGTCAGATTCTTGCTATTATGACAACACCTTTAGACACAGAACAAGATCTACTGAAAAACATGTTATTAAGAAACAAACAGTAGTCGGTCTGTGGCATTTAACACTAACTTGAATAGCTGTGGTAAATACAATCCCAGCAGACACACAATCTCATAAGACATTAATATTGGAATAGATTTAGGCAAAGAATACACATTTAATTTAATTTAATTTAGTTGCAAGTCTGGGAAGCAATTTTGGAGAATTTGATGTTTCCCCATTCAAACAGAATGCCAGAGGATACTGCCTGAAAGGGGTTTCAAAGACGGTCAACGAGTTAAATTACTTGCCTTAAAGGGACTTTGATTTAGGTCACCAGCGTCTAAAGACAACGTTATTTTGACGTCCAAAAACCACTTGAAGTGACGTTGATATTTTGTTGAATTTAGGTTGTGTTGGAAAGTGACCAAAATCTTAGCATCTTAACCAACGTCATATTGACGTCACATACTGACATTCATTCGTCAAGTATGGCTAAAAAATCCAATGTCTGATGGATGTTAAATTGGTAACATCCACACAACGTCAAGGTGTAACATCATTAGACGTTGATATTTGGTTGTTTTGCATTAGGAAATAACCAAAATGAAACATCTGTCAAACATCAGACATTGACGTCGGCCTGACATCGGTTTTTAATGTCAACCCGATTGTAATTTCTAAACAAAAAGCAATGTCCCACAACGTTGAGGTCAATCTGGCGTCATGTTTACATCTTGCGCCTGCTGGGACATTACCATCTGAAACATCACTATATCATGAAAACTTCACCGTGCTTTTTTGTGAGTGATATTTTAAATTCATAAACAGGCCTGTGGGATTATTTCAATAAATGGACAAAAAGGAACGCTTTTGTTTATAGCTAGCACTGATGCCTCTGTCTAATGTATGTGTGAAGGTATTAATGAGAAAAGACAGAAGTAAAAATCACATTCAATGTTTATCTGGTTTAATTTAATTTAATTTTTTTACACCCCATCTCCATTTTTTTTTTTTTTTTTTGATTTCGAGTGGCATGAAAAACAAATGAGTAATGTTGTTTTAGGCTGTTGCCCTCAGCAAGGGGAGCTGAACTCACCCACTCATTAGCATTATGCTAATAGGAAGGTTAGCAGTGGAAAGTCTCTTACAACAGCCTTAATAGGCAAACACACGCTTACAGAGACACTTACAACTCCTTTTAACTCCCAGCCTTTTTCTTGTACGCGGTCACACACACACACACACAAACATCTTTGAGACATTTAGCAGATATTTTTGGTTCCGTTTGTGTCTGAGTCATATTGTGACTGCTTGACAGTTACTTGTGAAAGGAACTTGTCTGCCCTTTTATCATCGCATACATGAATAATCCTCTGCATTTTCCAATATTAGCATAAACGCACACGTACACATTTGTATATTGTGGTAAAGATTGTATAAATATGTATATTATAATAAAAACTTTTCATTGACATTTGATTTTTCTACTTTCTACTATACACAGAGGCAGATTTAGTGTTTGGGGGCCCTAGGCAATTTCAGCCATGGGGCCCAGCAGTCCTAAACACCACTTTTATTCTATTTTTATTTATTTAGCTGTTTTTTTTTTAATATATATATCACTTAAACTTCTTTTCTAAATTTTATTTTAATGCAATCGCTACATTTTAAATGATTAGTTTTCATAAAATTAATTTACAACTAAAAATAATACATGCATTTTTATATATAAATTTGACTGCTGGACTGCTCCATGATTAGGGGTGGTGGACAAATCTGTGCATATGTAATAATAATATATTATAATATTATTATTACATAACATTACATTATTGTAATAATATTACAATTTATTTTATATTCATTAATATTTAACTACATCAAAATTTTATTTGACTCTTACCATACAAAATATGATAGAAAGCAACATTATATAAAGTTTATAGATATCATTTATTATTCATTCATTCATTTTCTTGTCGGATTAGTCTCTTTATCAATCCGGGGTCACCACAGCGGAATGAACCGCCAATTTATCCAGCAAGTTTTTTTACGCAGTGGATGCCCTTCCAGCCGCAACCCATATCTGGGAACATCCACACACACATTCACACACTACGGACAATTTAGCCTACCCAATTCACCTGGACCACATGTCTTTGGACTGTGGGGGAAACCGGAGCACCCGGATGAAACCCACGCAAAGGCAGGGAGAACATGCAAACTCCACACAGAAACGGAAAACACAGAAAAGATTTTTCAGAATAATCTGTTACATGTGACTTAAATTGCTCATCCTATATGAGTCCACCCCTCATAAATCTCTCTTTTAAATTAATATTTTTTAATACAGTATTATATCTGTGCATATACATTAGATTAGTCAGTACTGAAGCCAAATATGGAACAAAATAACTTATGATAACGTAAAAAACTAGTACACCCAAATTTATGTTATAGAAAAATATTTAATACAAATTTTAAAAAGAGGAAAAATCAAGAGAGAAAAAAAAAAAAATTTTTTGTTAAATTGTTTTTAGGCTGAAATTTATTTGTGCAATATTTAAAATATTTAATTGTATCATCTTTTCAGGTTCGATGAATGTTTGGTGACTAAAATGTTATTTTAATAAATATATCTGTTTATTAAATCTTTTTTGTTTAAATGCACCAAAATCCATTGCCTATATTCACTGAGAAATTGAGAAAAATAAAAATAAAATTTTTCAAAATGGGGTGTTCTCAGTTATGCTGAGCACTGTATAAATGTGCAATAACAGGTGTTATATTTTATACACTTGCTGTACAAGTGCAGTTCCAGCTTTCTAACAATACCTCAGGTCAGCACGAAGTCAAAATCTTCTCAATTTGATTTTGTGATAGATTTGGCATAGTCAGCTGTTTGGGGAAGCTTCAAGGGGTTTGCTTGCTCTTCCAGACCACTGTTTCCTCCCAGCCAAAATGTGATGTTTGTCTAAACTATTATATCTCTCCAGTGTGTTTCACTCTGTGTAACAGCAACAATATGCAACCGCATGATAAAATGAATGGTTAATTAATAATTAAAATATTTGCTTGTAGCAGTGGTGAATCACGGCACATGGGCATTTGAGGGCAGCCGTGTTTTTTTTTTTTTTTTTTTGAGACTGCATGAGGACTCTGTGTGTAGAAAATACTCTCCGAGTCCGACCCGCGGGTAACATTAAGGGAAGTTCTATGGGACTGTGCATGTTCTCTGTTCTGGGGTATGTTTCCCAAAGCCATCATTAGCCAACTAAGGTCACAACAAGTGCTGTCATTACCAGCGTAGGTCAGTAAATTTACTGAATCTATCTCTCCAACTTGCTCCTGTCATGACCTGTAAATAGAAGCAAAGATTCCTCCAAGAATATGAGGTGTATTGGCTTAAATAGATTTTAAGCATGACTAAATAAACAAGCTGATGTGCAGTAAAATTCATATCTTTCCTTACATACATGTAAACATTACATTCTGTGTTTTTTTTTTGTTTTTTTCCAGTTTTTAGAGGTTTAGAAAGCACTGTTTTGAGGAACCCAAGAGTGAAATCAGGCGACCCGCATAATAAAGATATATAAGAAAGAATAAAGTAGCACTAAGCAGTTATTCTACGTCATCTTAATCATTTACAGCAATAATTTAAGTAATTATTTGGATATCAGATTTTTAAATAGCTTAAATTATTACTCCACCACCTGTGTCTGTGTGACAACACTAACTGCAATTCAGATGACGTTAATTTCCTTTTTATGGCAAAGAATGTTTTTTTTAAATTGCATTTAAATTGAAATAACTAAATAATGCTCATTTTAGAAGAAAATTTTAGATTGTGCTTAGCGATTTTAAATTTGAAGTCTTCAATTGATTTGGTTGCTCCATCATTGAATATGACCATGATGTAGCAGGAAACATTTTCCCAGTAGTGTCCAAAGCCTTTCCCTCTTCATCTGCACCACAGAAAAAAGATAAGCTGTCTGCAAGTGCAAAAAAACTGTCCTTATCTGCTAGAAGCCAAAAATGAGTGATGAATGATAATAGTGGCATACAGCTAGGTCAAGTTAATCAAATTACAAAATGGAGGCTGCCTTTTAAGGTTTGAGGTCAGTACCATTTTTTTTTCTCTGAAAGAAATTAATA